GTGCCGCCAGAGCCCGCGTTGGGCCCTCGGCCCAGGCGCCCGCTGCTTGCGAAAGGGTGACGGCCGACTGCGGCTCAGGGAAGGCGGATGGCCCTGACTCGCGGGGCGGACCCCAGCTCCCGGGGCGCCCCGGCGTCCGCAGTCCGGGGGTGACCTGGGGGTCGCCCAGACCTCTAGCTCCAGGAGCCAGAGACAGTGCCGGCCCACGGGGCACCCGAGCTCACCCCCCTAGCCCCGCGGCACCCCACTTGGGGCCCACGGTGAGGACCCCAGCCCTGCTGAGGCCTCTGCTCCACCCTCAGCACCCCCACACCCAGCTTACCCTGTGAGGTGAGGTGGGGACGGACCCGGCCCCTGCGAAGCCCCGGCTCGCCTGGCACCCCAGCTCTGCAGGGAGCCAGGGCCGGGCCGCTCCTGCCACGGGGGTGCAGGCACCCTGTCCCCAGTCCCTGAGCTGGACCTTTGGCCCAGCGGCCTCGGGGCCTGGCCTGAGGCAGCCCCTGCCCCACGGGCTGTCCGGCCTCCTCCACTGTCACCTGACCCTAGGGGCCGCCCCCTGCTGGCCAGCACCAGGAGGGCAGGACAGAGCCTGGCCCCCAACAGGTGCCCTCGAGCCTCCAGCTCCTGGACTTGGACCTTGGAGCTCCCTCACTGTGTGCTCTGCTGCTGGCTGCCCGGGGGCAGGCGGCCAGCCTGGGCCACCCTTGGGCGCTGCCGGGCTAGCTCAGGCCCAGCCCCTCCGGCCAGGCTGTGCCCGAGGGTGGTGACTGGTGGCCCCCAGCCCTTAGGGGGAGCACAGGGTCCTGCCTGGCCCTTGCGGGGATCGGCCCCGGCCCCAGGGGCGGAACACCCACCCGGCCTGCCGAGGGAGCAAGGTCCTGGCGGCCACCACAGGCAGGGCGGCTGGCCAGGGGTCCCATCCAGGACAGGCCCGCAGGCGCAGGAAAGACCCCGGGCTTCTCAGGCACCTCCCAGCCCCCCACCCCGCGCTGGGCACTGGGGAGGCCCTCTGCGCCCCTTCCGTCCTGGCGACCACCCCCGGAACGGCCAAGGGGCCCAGCCCACTGCCCCCAGCATTCCCCCCCCGACCCTTGCGGCTTCCTGACGCGCAACGGGCAGGGGCAGCTCAGGGCGCCCCGCACTGAGCTCCGCACACCTGACGCCCCCGGCCCCCGCGGAGCG